CTGATAGCCCATCTCTGATGGCTCTAGACCTCACAAGGCTAGGGTCACCCCATCCTTCCCCAACCCCTTTTAGTCTTAGGGGCGTTAACAGTTTCCTGTGATTGCTAGTCCCAGGGTGCCTCTCCATTCCTTCATGATCTATTTTGTTTCCTTACCCCCACCCATACCTCTTTAGACCAGGTTATTACATTACTATCATTAAGTTCTCTCTAGTGAATCCCTTTTGAGGGTGCCATCTCCTTCCTGCCTTGATCCAAACTGAATCAGCTATAAAAGTTTCAGGGCAATAACTACTATGATCAAGGGCCCCTTTTTCTTTTAATATTGGAAACACTTGAACATATTTATCTGCTGAGGCAAAATAATTCCCATCATTCTGTAGCAGAAGCAATACATGGAGGCTCAGTGATTAGATACTAGGTCACGTCTCACTTTCCCATTATGGTCATCCATCATGACCAATCTGGGAGATGAAACAGCACAGATCTAAAGGACACGGTAAGAATCAAGATCACCATAGATCAGGGGATACCCACATACTTGCAGGATTAGCACTGTCTGGATTCCAACAGCCAGCTGAGTATATTCAAGATAAAACTGTACTACATATTTTAGATTGGGGATTGGCAACAAATAGCTGTAGACTACAGTCTGAGGAGTAAGTGTTTTCATATGAACTGTGGGGCATTTCTAATCTCAGCATCATAGCCAGGTCCAGCTACACGTTTCTACTCTTGGTCTTGCCCCTAACCTTCTCGGCAAGTCCTTCCCAGGGTACCCACGTAAGTGGGATGCTCCCCACTCACCAGTTAGTACTGCACCAAATTCATTTCCCTTAACCTAGATTATAATTTGTGTTTCCACATTTTTTCCTTACTTGTTATTCATGGGCTTCCCCATTAGACTCTAAGTTCCACAACGGGGACCATGCCTAGGACGCAGAAGGTCCTTAATAAATATGTCTTGAGTGAATAAATGGTGAACTGCAGGGATACCACAAATTGCCAACAGAGGGTAAACAAGGACTAATTTCCTCGCCACCATGTTTATGGTGGGCCTCCGACGGCCTTCCTTATAGTCAAAGCATACTTGGCAGATCTGGCTGCTCTGGGTGGAGATGGCTGTACCCTTGTTTGAGACTGTAAATATCTGTGTGAGTAGGGCTTAAGCCTGCGTGTGTTTGCCTTATTTTGCACAGCATTCGGCACTGTCCCAAGCGCAGATGAGTGCTCCATAAATATTATTGAAGGATGATGACACAAAGGATTATTTAATACCTCTGCGTGGGGTAGAGATGGACTTTGGGCCATGAATATACTTTGAATGTGCTTTACTTCACAAATCATTTGAACCAAAATGTTTTCAGCAACACAGACTCATCTCCAACCACAAATCAGACACATTCAGAATGACAAAGCCCCCAAAGAATGCCACGTTCAAGGCTGAAACGCTATTATTTGGGGGGAAATGGAATCCTTGTTTTAGTAGATGCTGTAAGAGTAGAAATTAAAGATACTGAAAGTCTTCCCCCGGGGAATCACAGTTATCAGTGAACAATAAAAGTCTGTCTGAATAATTTATCGGTTTCCAGGGTACACCCTCCCCCCTGATTCTGGAATCCCAGGGGTTAAGTAAGTGTGCCTTGAAGGTGTCTCAACAACAAACTCAGTTACTACTCTTCTGGGACTGGCATTTATGGGCCTGTTCCTGTGAATTTACTAATTTTGAAAAATATTAAGCTGTATGAGAAACCACAATCAAGAGCAAAATTTTGAAGCTACATTTCTTTTACCTAAGAAGAAAGTTATAAAGTGTTCATCATGAGAATCCACCTGGGAGTCACCCAACAGATCAAATACCCAAGACGAATCACCCCTCGGAGCCGCACTGAATTCTGAATCCCAACCAGCGAGCATGAATAATCCTTTTAAATGGCCACTCACATATCAGAACAGGTCCATTGTGAAATTTCTAAGCAGGGCCTTTGGTTTCTGACTGAAACAGAGATTTATTGGGAACGGGGGGGGGGCATAAAGTGAAATCAAGAACTAGTGGGAAATTTCCACAAAAAATGAGGACAAATGGTTTTTGTTGTCAGAATGAAACCAGCCTTTTCGGACAATAGTTTGGAAAGTTGCTGGCTAGCCCACAGGAGAGTTGGGCAATATTCTCAACTAGTTTCTCAGGGGCCTTCCTGATCTCACTGTAGTTATCAGACAGATGTACTGGTAAGCTATATATCAGAAGACCTAGTTTCAAATCTTGAGTCCATTTCCAATTAGCTGTGTGACTTTACACAAGTCACTTAACCTCTCTGATTATTGGTTCAATGTCTTTAATATGAGGAGAATAAAGCCCACCCAAATTACCTCATTAAATCATGGAAAAGTTATATTAAGATAATGTTTAAAAATTCCTATAAAATTATAAAATTCTGTATCAGTGGAAGGGTTAAATACATTTGCACATTATCAAATAACCTCTAGCACTCAGGTTCTTTATACGCTTCCGAGCTCTGAGTTCTAGAAATGGTCCCATTTTTGCTTTGTTCTCTATAGTTTTACTAATTTTTTTTTTTTTTTAAGAAATATATAGGCAAAGCTAAATGGGAAAAATCATGGACTTGCACATTCTACTCTTTGCTGTGGCAAGGCAAGAATTTTAAACTGGATTTAGCTCGCCATCAGGGACTTGATGCCCGTCTCACCTAAGGGAGAGAAGTAAAGTGGGAGGTACTTGATTCTTCCCCCCTCTGATGGAAGAATACAAGGCCAGTGTACAAAAACCAATAGTATTCTAATTAATAGCAGCAATCAACTGGAAAATTAAATTCATAAAGCTATCCCATTTACAATAGCACCAACACACAGAAAATACTCGGGAATAAATTTAACAAAAATTAGGCGAGATGTCTACACTAAAAACTACCAAGTATATGTAAGAGAAATGAAAGAACCAAAACACAAAGATATACCGCATTCATGGATTAGAAGACTCAACGTTGTTAGAATGCAACCCTCTCCAAATGACTCTGTAGATTAAACATCATGCCAGGCCAAATCCTACCAGGATCCTATAGAAAGTGAGGTGTTGATTCTAAAATATAAACAAGGTGCAGAGGACCTAAGCTATAGAATTTTCTTTTAATTTGACAAAGAAGAAAAGGCGATGGCAGGCTCACCTGATTTCAGTATAAGATTTGCATAAGGATCAAAAATAGATCAGTGAAACGGAATACAGAATCCTGAAGTAGACCCATTTGTATGGTCAATTGATTTTTAATACAGGCACCAAAGCTATTCAGGGAAAAGAAAATTCTTCTCAACAAATAGGATTAAAACTGGACAGCGGGGAAAGGGTAAATCCGGACCCCTATTTCACATCACACAAAATAAATTCAAAATCATCACAGACGTCAATGTAAAAGTTAAAGCTGAGATGATTCTAGAATAAAACACAGAGAAAATATCGTTCTGACTTTGGGGTAAGCAAATATTTCTTGTAGAAGACAAAAAATGTATGTAATAACCGTACAATCACTGACTTGTAAGAAAAAACTGATACCCTGGACTTCATCAAAACTTAAAACTTCATTTACACAAAAGACATTATTGGGGGATATTATTGCACTTTTGGGGATACACATTTCACTGTATATAAATTACACCTCACGAATGAGTGAATGAATGAATAACACTAAGAGAAAATAACCACACAATCCAGAAAGTGGGATTCTGCAGAAAAACTGGTCAGATCTCTTCAAAAGTCATTTTCATGAAGTAAAAAATAAAAGGATTGGGACAGATAAGAAAAGACTGAAGGTACATAACCAGATGAGATGCACGGTCCGGTACATAACCAGACGAGATGCACGGTCTCAAATCGGATACTGCTTTGGAAAACCATCCATAAAAGACATTCTGAAGACACTCAGGGGAAATTTAAATACGACCTTGGTTTCCCGATGACTTAAAAAAATTTTAATAAGAAGTTGGCGGTTGGTGGCGGATAAGAAAAAACAGGTTATAGGCAGTATGTAATTTCTGACCTCTTTTTAGTATTATAAAAGACAAATATATATGTATAGACTATTATATATTTCAATTATATGCATATAATATATATATACGGAAAGAGATCCACTGAGGAATACACATTTACCTGTCAGGATAGGGATTTCAGGGAGGAGGCTATGAGGTTTATATTTTCTTACTTGTTTATGTTTTCTAACTTTTCACCACGCACATATACTGCCTCCATAATAATACATGCTGTTTGAAAATACTACTACTGGTTTATAATTCAAGATAAAAGATGGTAAGAATGGATGGAGCAAGGAGAAAGAACCCCACCACTGCTGAAGCCCTTCCTAAGTCCATCTCCTTGGTAGAGCAGCCCTCTGGGGCACCTGCCATGTACTCACTTCATTCTTACAACAAACCAGGGAAGTATCACCCTTATTTTTACAGAGCCAATGAGGACAGACACTGGCATATGAACATAATATAATATTACCTCAAAACCCATGCTTTTACCACCTCACTTATATATTTTTTCAGTTTTTTTACTAAAAACTGAAGTTTTTAGTTTTTTTTTACTAAACATTTACGTAGTTACTTTGTACTATTTACTCAGTTGAGTGTTTTACAGGAATCACCTTATTCATACTGCCTAACGATCCATACAAAGATGCTACTAATTATTCCTATTTTACAGATTAAGAAAATTAAGATCAAATTTTCAATGAAAATTTCAATCAAAGATCACAAAAACCAAATATGTGTTCCAAGTTCCCACAGCTAATAATTGATGGAACCAGTAACCAAGGTCAGGCCTCCTGATTCTCCGTCTCCTGCCCAGTACACAACCTGTATCTCTAAGTTCCTACGCTTTCAGCAAGTTCCCATTGGCGTAGGGGAACATGAGTGCCAGCTACCAACAAAGGAGACATTGACATCGAAGTCTACCATAAGGCTTTCCACGGTGACATCCTTGCTTACCTGTCCAGGGCCATGCTGGTCGGCATACTCCTCCCAAACCCACGGACCCCCATCTGACGGAAATATGGAATGCAAGAGAGGTTGGCGGCAATGATGGCCAGGGAGTCAGAAGGGCTCACAAAGAAGCCATTTTGGCCTAGGATCATATAACGGTCCTGTGGGAAGGAATGTGTGAAAACGATCAGACAGAAGCATCTGCTATGAGCAGCCGATTCCTATAATCATCACAAGCCCCTTCACTGCCATCGTATCGTTTACGATCATACAACTTGAATGAGGCCACAGGAAGCTGGGAAAAGCTTATTCTAAAGCCATAAATATTAAAGGCCCAGAATCTTGACACAGCTAAGAGAGTGTTCTACCTGCTGAAATGTGGATGACTACCTCATGCTTCAGTCACCTCCAGATACTTAATTCATCCCCCCCCCCCATGTAAAGTAGAACAGAGGTTCCTGCCCTTAAAGTGGTGCTTTCAACCAAACTAGCTGTAAATAAAAAATTATTGCATGGATAATTTTTTTTTTACAAAAGGAAACAACTTCTTTATAACATGATGCTAAGCTGGAACTAAGCAAAGTCATGGCTATTTAATTGCAATAGTTAGCCTCGAAACAGAAGAACAGATGCAGGGTCAGTTAGAGTACACACATACCCCATACATCTCAGCTCCAGATGGGTTCATTCATTCTCTGGTCTCCAATACTTGGCTCATTGTATGGTCAAGGGGTCAGCATGCAGAAAACTTTCCTACTTACCCCATCAGCATCAAATGCAGCTCCAAATCCATATTCCCCTCCTTTCATGGCTTCCAGGAGAGTCGTTGCATAGGTCAGGTTTGGGTCAGGATATTGCCCTCCGAAGTCTTCTAGCGGAACGCAGTTGATTGCAGAATTGGCTGGGGCCCCCAGCTCATCACACAGAACTTTTCTCACATAAGGTCCCATCACTAAAAAAAGATACACAGCAATGTGAAATATTTGCAGTTCCCTCCCCCAGGGTATTTTGTCATGGTTAGAACAAGAAGGGCCATTTATTAGCCCATAAGAAAAAGGTAGGTTCTACAGGCTTTTTTCAAGACACAACACAGAATTTATTAAACATCTACTATGTGCCAGTTACTATGTTAGGTATTAGAAGATGTATTCAATAATCCAGTGACATGTATTTTTTTCTCCCCACACTTTTCTAAAACATTGCCAGAAAGAAATCAACTATGTAATAATGATTCATTGTCTGTTGCTTTTCATGTATTAAAAGATTTAGCTGAATATATGCAAAAGCACTAACGGGCCCTGGCAATGTTCTCTGTCTAAGCAATCATTTGGACCCTGCCAAGTGTATAATTTAATACTGTAAACCACTGAAGCGCATAAAACTGAGCACCTTTTACAAAATAAATGCTAAGTAATAGTATTTTCCAGTTCGGTGAACATTTACGGGGTGCCTGACATGCATCTCTTATGTTAGGAACTGAATGGACCATACATATTGCAGGGCTGCAAGGTACACAGATCCCATGTTACTAGGCTCTTACTCTAGTAGTGGGATGAGTCAAAGCTATAGATTGGTGACTACAGTTGGTAAAATTGAAGGAGATGCGCCCTTTGGCACTCATTTATGAAATAATTAGATCCAGGGGCTGAAGAAAAGCAATGACCACAGAAAAGGCTGTAAGGGGAGAACAGCATTTCTGAGGGAACTTGGAAAAAGAATATAAATTTGGCAGAGGTTGGGAGTGGAGAGCCATCCAACTGGAAGGAACATCTTGAGCAAAGGAATAGGGGAGAACACGGGGCACATTTGGGGACCAGATGTAATCTTGCTACTGAAGTGTATGCAAAGTATTGCTTCCCACTTATTCTCCACCAATACAACACAATCCTCCAATATGAACATCTCTTGATTTTTTCCGACCTAGTACTCATTTCCCCTTCCTCTGGATGCAGCATTTGGGGTTTCTTTTGAAGAACCACCCCTTCTCCATCTCAGTTCTTCATATATGGTTAAATCCCACTTCCCTCAAAGCAGAGAAAGTAAAAGGTAACCTAGGCCTGCCCAATAAGGTCCTTCCATCCCCCAGTCAGAGTAATTGATTCAAAGATACACATATAATTGCAGGCTTATTTAGGTTTAATCACAGAAATATTGCTCAAGTAATTTTGAAATAGAGGCTATCTTCCCTCTAGGCCATATAATATTAAGATATACTATCTTGTTAATATCTATTAAGACATTACTGATATATGTTAAAATGTATTTTAAAAATGATTTTAATTTGTTTTCTTTTTTTTTT